CCCCCCCCCCCACTGGGCCCCCTGGCACCAAGCCTGGGCTCCCCTTGCCAGCGGGCCACGTCCGCCAGCGTTCCTGCGCCGCTTCGCCTCCTCGACCGCCAGCCCTCAGCACGCTTCGACGCCCGGCCCGATGGTTCCCGATGCTTCGACCCCTTGTACTGGTCCGGCCCTTCCCCCGCCCTGTCGGTGTCCCGCTGGCCCTGTGCGGTTCCGGCGCGGTTTCTGCGGGGCGCCACCATTTGAAAGCCGCAAATTTGGTGATTTGTCATGCTCAGAAGAATTCTTTATAAATTCTGAAATTTGAGGGTTCGGCGCGGTTTCACGGAAAACGTCAGAAAAAATATATATATATCATTTTGACCGTGAAATAATCGCCGTGTCGATTCGGTGCAAGTCCAATTTTTTGTCATTTTTTTTATTGCAAATTCCATTTTCATCATTCACCCGTATCATTTTGACCGTGGAATAATCGGCGTGTCGATTCGTTGCATGTCCAATTTTTTGTCATTTTTTTAATGCAAATTCCATTTTCATCATTCACCCGGTTTTTCACTCTATGCTACCGGTACCCCTCGTGAAATGGCACTACCGGTAGGAGGAGGTTTTTTGTGTCGGGGGGAGTGGCGGTTTAAGTGGAGCACTAGGCTTTGTGAACCCAGGCGGAGCGCATCGAGGAACGACAGACCTGATGTGGGTGGCGACATCAGGCCCATCACACCGGATGGTCCTCACCGGACATTCATATCCTCGTTACAAGTTCTACGAGGTTGACAACCTTGAGCGGACTAATTGCTCTGACGACAGAGGGCGCTGTAGGTTCACTCAACAACGGCAACGGAATTAGTTCCTCGAATCCCAGACCAAATCGTTATTAATATTCCTTCTAATTACAAAATTCACCGAATTAAAAGCGCTAATCCTCCTACTCCATGACCAAAACAGGGTAATCTGTAGCAGGGGGAGCAAATCAGGCAGGGGTCATCAAGAACAGCAGGCCTAATGTGGGCGGCAGCATCAGGCCCATCGTTCTAGTTGGCTGCTGCCAATGTTCATGTCTACCCAAGGTGTGATTGGATCCCAGGTGATTGTCAACACTATCAAAATAGGCAGATTCTCTTTCCGCCTGGCAAATCAGCGACTATCGGTAGTCACGCACAACAGGTCGCCGCATGGCTGAAAATCTCACTCCACGGCAGGCAGAAGATAATCGATAATAGTTTCTCCACATAACAGGTTGCTCCACAGCCTAACAGATCACTTCATAGCAGAAAAATCCAACCCATAGCAGAGAAATCCAACCCATAACAGAAAAGTCCAACCCACAACGGGCAGGAGGTGATGGGCAATAATTGTCAAATCTGTTAATAGTGACGCAGTCTGTTAATAAGGGGTGGTGGGCAGTAGCGGAAGACGGCGAATCTATTAGTAATGCTTCGTAAGTATTACTGTGGTGATGGCGGGACAGGATATGGTGGCAGACGGTCCCCGGCATGGGCTGGCCATGGGACTGGAGGGGGTTTCTTGTCCACAGTGCCTGGACGATCCGCTGACGAGAAACCTCCTCCGGGTGGGCAGACGCGCCGTCCTTTGGGTGATATGGTGGAAAAGATGCATCTTGGAAATCGAAGGGGCACGTGTGGAGGAGGGGGAGGTAACTGAAGTGGTCAGGAAACTGGTACAAGCAGAGATCACTAACTAGTGGCAGGTGGCCAGACAACGAATGAGCTTTGTGCATACCTGGATCGACATTGCTTAAATAATCACACGTTTCTGCGAGGAATGGTTGAGAGGAAGAAGGGGGTGATGGATGGCAGGTGTATCTTGGTCAGGGGATAACCCCATGGAGAGGGAGGGGAGGCAGGGGGAGAGGTGCCCAGAGACTACAAACTGTTCTTTCGGAACTGGACCGCAATAGACCCTGGCATCCCCCTGAGACCGACGACGGATTTCCCGGACCCTTCCCCCCCCCACCTGTAATCACTTGCGGAATTGCCCCCTAGTGGTTAAAAAACAATGTCTCCAAATTTTCTCCAAACTATCTCAAAGAAATGCTGAGCCCAGTTCTCAGCATGCGAGGCTTGTGTTTCCTTTGTGTTTCCTTTCCCCAATAACCGCCTTTCAAAGGCTTTTGTCCTTTAAAGTTTAAACTGTTTTTTAAACTTTTTTAACTGTTTAACTTTTTCTAAACTATTTCATCATGTTTCAACATGTGTTTGCATGTTTTCGCAAAAGGACAGCATGCGGATAGCAGAGGGCAAGGGCAAGGGCAAGGGCAAGGGGACGGAAAGAGACCCCGCTGGTGCCCCCCGGCAGCTCTCTTCCCCATACCTGACCGGGCCACGAGGCAGGAAAAGGAGGAAAGTTTGATATGGGACGCTGGGCCCGGTTTCCAGCACAGTGGTTATGTTCTGATCATTGAATGATTCAAACATGTATAATTCAAAAGGGATGCTGGGCCTGGTTCCCAGCACATGCCGCTCCCGACAAATAGATCGGAGCATCTTTCCAAAAAAAAAAAGTAAAAAAAGTGGTGCTCTGTTGATAGGAGTTGATGGATAATCTGTTGATGGCGAAGTGATACGTAGAATAGATGGCGTTTTTTTTTTTTTTTTTTTTTTTTTTGGCGGGTTATCCAGTGTATAATTGATAATCTGTTGACAGCGGGTTGATAAACAACAGATAGTGGATAATCTATTAGTAATAGGTAATTAAGGATCCAAAGATAATCTATAAGTAATCCTATCCCTTAAGGAGCACTGGGCCGGGGGGGAGGTCGATGGTCTGCTTTGCTCCGAAATTGCGCCGAAGTTTTGGTGCAGGCCAGCAATCGAGTGCGGGGGGGCATGCTGAGCGGTGCGCGTACTGAATTGTTCACAGCGCACCAGCAAACGTGAGCAAGCGTCCATGGGCCTGGGCAGCGGCGAGCGTAGATGCGATGGAATATCGTAAAGCGGCCGGCGCAGACTTTTTTTTTTCTTTTTCAAGCTGCGTCGATATTCATTTTCTTTTCTTTTTGTCGTTCCCCTTCTTCTCTTTTGTGGGTTTTTTTCTTTTTCAAGTCGCACAAATATTCATTTTCTTTTTTTTTGGTCGTTCCCCTTATCCGCAGAAAGTATGAATCATAAAAGGAAATGAAAAAGACGAGAAATAAATAGATGCGGCGGTAGGCAGGTGGGAAGAAAAAGGTAAGAAAAAAAAAAGATAGAGAGAGAGAGAGAGACGTTCCAGTACTCTCGAAGTGTGAAAAAGGCAAAGTGGATATTCGGCTAGAACATGAAATGATACACCGCCATGATTTTTGTCTTCTGTGCATGTCACCCAGAGGCGCCAAGGATCTCGGCGGGCTGCTGGGAGCAACCCGCACAGCCCGGCAAGATTCTCTCTCTCTCTCTCTCTCTCTCTCTCTCTCTCTCTCTCTCT